TTTATATTCTTCTTTAAATATGACAAAACATGTCACCATCAGTTTATTCCTCGCAGCCCACAGAAAGCAGCTTTTATCTGTGACCTTATCTCTGATCTTATTCAGACATTTATGTGAAGAATTAAAATCAATGAACACAAACCTGCAATGACTGATGTTTTGTCCTTTCATTTGTTGTTTTGTTGTTGTGAATACAACCCTGACATGTCACTTTTTTGGTTGCCATTCACACTGATTCATATTTCCAGCCACCTGATGGATGCAGATCTAGTATTCGCTCTCTTTTAGCTCTGTGTTTGGTCTCTGCTAACTCCTGAAGGAACCACTGCGGCTCTTTAGCTGCTAAATGATTCATTATGTTCACCAGCCAGTGACTGAGCCTGTCAGCTGTTTGGTGAGCAGGTAGTACACATTTGAAAAACCTTTTCACGGAAAGCAGCCGAAAGATTATATTTATAACCAAAGAAGGAAAAAAATGTGGTTCCAGAGATTTGCTACAGATATGAACAGTAAAACAGATTGTTTGTATGAAGGAGTGGCAGAAATGGAAGTGAATGCAGAAAAGCTACAGCAGTAAACACAAAAGTAAAAATGTTAGAATAACATAACCAGTTTGTGTGCTAATTTCTGTTTGGAAAAACACAACACTGTACTTTCACAACCTCCATTTTTAAAATCCCATGACGTTTGTGTGGCTGTACTGTAGCAGCTTCAGGTATCAGTCAAGTCGAGCACTGAGGGAAGACCAACTACAGAGCAGCATATTCACCCTGGGACAACTTAGTGCTGACTGAATAAGCAAAGCAGACAAGCCTCTGCAGCACAGGCAGCCTTTCAACATGCACAAAGACAGACAGGCTGAAAGCTATGAGTTGAATGAAGAGCTGCACAGTTTCTCTGCAGATTCACTGTGATTTCGGCTTATGTAGATGGATGAGAGGGAATCCTGTTTGTGGCAGTGGAAGCTGCATCTGCTACTGGAACATCATTTACATGATTATTGCCACACATATTCCTGAACTCACAATAGTCTCACACTAATTAATGAGGTGGGGAATATGACAGTTATTGTCCTAATGATGCCACGTGGTAGACAATGGAGAGCACATCATGTTAAAAACAGTTCAGCAAAACAATAGCCATGAAATGATTCGTTCTGAATTACAATCAGTTGCAGTGTTTACGGGTTTAAAAGTGTTGAGGAGAAAATGGTAATGCCTTAACTGTCACTGACTGAGATGATTGGAAATATCGACCCATAAAGGCAATTAGGACTGTTTTATATGTTGCTTATTTAATGTAAAGGCGACCTATCTAATGAGGATATTAAACATTATTTTTTTCATGCAACTTAGGCACACCATGCATTATCAAACATTTTGGTGAAGAAAATGACTTTTTAGAGTGATACAAATGTGGTTCCACATGTAGACTTTGGAGTAAAAGTATTTTTATCAGCCTTTAGCCAATAATCAGAATAGTTCAGAGTTGACAGTGGAAGGGAACAAATCAAATCTGTGTTTTCAGTAAATTAGCTTTCATAGCTCTGCCAACATCATGACTGCATATGAAATATTAAACAGTACATACAAGATGCAGTACTAATTTAGGCATTGTGAATTAGTTTGGATTGGTAGGCTGTTATGCCGACAAGTTTAATTTGTATATATAAGATAATAACATGAGAGAATAAGATTGACCGTCTCGTCATGAGTATTCTGCTGGGAAACATTGGGTCCTGGCCTTCATATGAATGCTATTTTGACATGTACCAGCAATCGATTAGTCTTTCGCCCCTATACCCAGGTCGGACGACCGATTTGCACGTCAGGACCGCTGCGGGCCTCCACCAGGGTTTCCCCTGGCTTCACCTTGCCCAGGCATAGTTCACCATCTTTCGGGTCCTATCGCACGCGCTCAAGCTCCACCTCCCCGACGTTGGCACTCCCTGATGGCAGTGGACTCCATCACAAGAAAAACACTTGAACAGAACGACTCGAGGAACATGACAAAGAGACCAGGGCACTGACTCTGCCTTCAAAGTCCCCAGATAACAACCAATAAAGTCAGAACAAACCCAATCCACAGATGGATCACCCTCACAAGCCAAAGTACCCAAAAGATCCGCTACCAGCATCCAAATGCCAGATATCACAAGACACCCCAAAAAAGTCCTGTATCCAGGGTTCAGTGTTGTTGATATAGCATGGAAGGGCCCTTAACACTATAAGCAGGTGGTTTAAATGTTGTGGCAGATCAGTGTGTCATCTGGTATGAAATGTCTGTTGATATTTCACTATTGGATGATACATAAGAAGAAAATGCATAACAGGAAAAACAGGTTTGATATAATTGAGATACAGTGTCACCAATACAGTTTGTCCACCACAAAGCACCTCAAGCTCTAAGTTATGCTAATACGACCCCAAAATCCTTGCTTGCAAGTACAAATATTTTTTCCAATGCAAACTGATTACTGAGAGAGGTAAGAAATAAGCCTTACAAATGACATGCAGCTTGTAACACAGTAAGACAACATCAAGTTGTATGTTATGCAGTGCTGATGACAGCTCAAATAAAGACGCACAACGCTTTTAAAAGCAAACTTGTGAAGCTTCTTGGTATGTTCAAACAGTTTGTCTTGCATGAATCTAGTCAGTTTAACTGTTCTACTTCATTCTTAAAACAGTTACAGCACTGCGCTGCGGGGATGGCATTGTCAGTATGCCCTGCAGAGATAGAATATGCAAACAGGAAAAAGGGAAATTTGTCTTACCTGTTAGTCGAGGTCACGTCATTGGTGGCATTATGAAACAGAAAAAAGGGGAAGGGGGAAAGAAAAAATATAATGTTTAGTCCTTTCAGAATCATCTTCACTGTGTTACACAGTCCTCCAACATCAACTCTAACAATGCCTCAGCGTTGGAACTTCCATCACCACATGTGAATCGTGTAAAGTCCAGTTAGAGTTTCTGTAAGTTGAAGACCATTTTAAACATTTGCCACTATTACAGTTTGAAGGCCAATGTGACAGTTAGTGAGTGCTGCTATGTCAGAGTGGAGGAAGAGTGTCAAGATTCGAATCTGAGTGACAGACTCGGATTCAGCTAATGAACAAAACCTTTTCATGTTAAGGAGTTTTAACGCATATTTCACACGTACTGTTAAGTATTGGTCAGATTTGAAGGGTGAGAAAGGGGTTCAAAAATATACTGGAAAGTAAATCTTCATTTAGTCAGTGTGCTCAGGATTGAACTGAAGCAATACGAGGAGGAAGAAGCATTAGACTGAGGTCATCTCAGAGTTTTAAGCTAGAATACAAGAAGTCAGACTGGCTAAAAGGGCACCTGGGGCCATGTAAGACATTAGACTGTTGGTTACTACATAGTGTTACACACATTAGGATGGTCAGTTATGCCATTCTATTGTACTGGAGAAAACCTGATACCTGAAGGTGGTTTTGTTTTTACTTAGGACAACATACGAAGCAGATTCTAAGAACACAAGAAAATATAAACCTATAAACTGCACTGGAACTTGCTCCTGGTCATGATAAGTTGAAAATTTGTGTTTTTTTAGATATAGTAACTCTTGAAAGTCAATTCAAGTCTGCTCATTAGATTTCTTCTGGAGTTTTCAGTCACATTGAATGGCTTTCATCAGTGGACGGATTTTGCTCAGTCATTATGGAAGCAGTTCGGTTTGCCATCACTTAGCCTACATGTGGAGCTACGGGGACTCACTGGTGGTTGCATGTTGACAAAGAGGTTTCAAATGGCAAACTGCAGCCCCTGATGAAGACCACAAAATGTGACTGTGGATGTAGTAAGTAGACCTTGAGCCTTGAGATTTGTTTTTTTTTTTTGTTTTGGTAGTTCTGGTCAGTCTGTAATTCTTGTTGTATGAAGCGCAAATACCATATACTTAAAATTTCACATGCTAGCTGATTACTAATTTCATCTTTAATGTGTAATTTGTATATACTGTAAAATCTAAATGTGATACATTTCCTTCTTATTGGAATTAGTTTTTGTATGAAAAATAAATCATCTTTGATGTGATTAAATATGGTAAAACACACTTTAAACAGCTGTAATAGAAACATAAAGCATACATACAATTACTGTGAAAAAAATGAAGCGGCATCAAGAAAATTGGATAATTCTAGGTTATACCCTATCAAGCTAAACCAGGTTTTGAATTACTCTTACATCAATTCTCAACACATTTTCTAATTTTCTTAGTTACAGCCACATTAACCTTAACCTCTCTACCACTACACTAATTTGTCTCTGTGCAGTGACTAAAAACTGTAACAGTAATGAATTTATAAGACTAAAAGGCATCAGCAAACTGGCTTTGCCATGCAAGGACCCAGGTTATGTGAATGTTTCTATAGACAAAGAGGAGATAGCGGGAGGTTACACAGGCAGCTGACAGTCACATGAAACAGTAGACAGTGGAGCAAGCAGAGACAGTAGCGCTATCAGAAGCAGCAGGTCAAGTAATACAATTGTTATGATCATGGTAACAGATACACAGAGGCAGGCAGAGGGAAATCAAATCAGACAACTTAACAGATAACCCTTGCAGTTTTGTTAATCTAGGGCCCGAACAGCACAGCACATTTGTGTCCCATACTCATGCCAGCAGCTGAGAAGAGTGATATATCTGGACACAAATGTTTTTTCTGGTTGAGATATTTTCCAGATTCCATGTTTTAAAATGGCAACAAAGAGCAGATTTGGGTCTAAATCTGTTGTAAATATACATGTAAATCTTAAAAGCTGTTCTGGATTTATCTGTCGGGCCCTGGTTATTACAAATTCACAGAGGAAAGGATCAAACACCAAGCGGGCCTGGTGCTCAATCCACAGGCAAAGAGCCATGCACACAGGAAGACAAACAGTACTACTTCCTGCCATCCTAGCCTACAATCACTTTTTCTGTTGTTCAAATTAGCCCCATGTTATTCATAATCTTCCCTGTAGTTCACCAACCTTCCAGTGGGGGGAGCTGTGGCGACGAGGACTCCTGGTGCTCTGAGTGTGCAGGGAGACAGGGAGGGGCTGCTTGGGTGATGGAGGGAGGGGGTGAGCTAAAGGACAAGGCTACACTTTTGGGGGGAGTGTCTGATGATGATGTGGGGCTGGCTTCGGTCTTACAGGGAGCAGCTGAGGAGCTAAACGGTGTGGCTGAGTTGGTGGAGGCTGCTGTGGATGGTGCTGTGCTAACAACAGGAGTGGCTGCAGCTGCAATGGGAGTAACTGTTGAGGACATGAATGCAACCGAGGGGACGAAAGGCTTGGCATCGACGTTGAGGCCTGAACCGACTGCAGCTGTTGGGGGGAGTGTCCCTGCAGCAGCAGCTAAGGGTGGGTTGGTGAACAAAGTGGAGGTGGGAGGAAGGTCTGGCGTGCTCTTGACAACAGATGAGGATTGTGAGGAAAGGGTTTCAGTCGGGGTGGACTTTATCAGGGAAGCAGTGGCGAGGGAAGGGGTGTTGGTGATTGGGGTGGTGGTTTGCGAGTCGGGAGTGGAGCCTGGAGGGGTCTGGAGGACTGAATCAAGGAAAGAGAAGGTCTGGGAGACTGGGCTCAGGTTGTCACCTGTCATCAGAGCGAGACTGCCGCCAACATCCCCAGATATACTAGTCTTGCTGGCAGCACAAGACGCTAAGCCAATGTTGGGTTCAGGTTTGCTGGTTGGAACTTTTTCTTCAGTCGCCTTGTGCCCATCTTTAACGGACACGGGGAAATCATCTACGCACATGGGTTCATAGGAGCGTGGAGATGAATCTGTTGCGAGGCTAACATGGGAGCAGTTGGTGAAACTTGTGGGTATTTTTTCAGGGGCAGAGGGCAAAGCGGGGTTTGAAGCTTTGGGATCAGTAGCGGCTGTAGCTGGTGTGGGAGAGACGGGTTGCTGGGGCGCTCCCCACTCTTCCGGAAGTCTTGCTCGACTCTTAGTCTTCCTGCCTTTTACTCTACCCCCTCCTCCACTCTCTCTGATCTCCCACTCCCAGTTCTCCTCCTCATCTTCATCCTCCTCCGCCTCCCTTCTGCCCTGATCCTGCATCCCATGCTTGTCTGATTGGCCGATGTTATTCTCCTGGCTATCCAGGAAGTTGTAGACTTCGTCGCGGCCCTTCCTCTTCTTCTTCCGCCGTCGCTGCTGCTGCTTGCCGGCCTCGCCCCCCGGCCCCACTCTCTCGGGGCTGAGGGGTTCGGAGTTGGAGGACGTGGGACTGCTGTCGTCCAGTGAGCCGCTGGGAGAGAGGACGGGAGCTGCCGAGGGGGGGAGGGTTTTATAAGAGGAGGAACCAATCACATACTGTGTCAGAGAAACACCTGCTAAAAAGCCATCAGATTGCGGTTACTATAGGTGTGCTTGATATTTCAAGTTTGGTCTAACCAGTTGAAGAAATATTTTGAAGCAAGGGAGTTTGTCAATGTTTCTCGTTGTGCAGCATTGGATTTTGATGTTTTTCTACTTGTATACTGAAAGTATGACAAAGATACAGGAGAGCAATGCTAAATTTGCTCAGTACTCTTTTAAAAGGAAAGCCAAACTACCCTCCTACACAAGGTACCTATGGTTTGTTTGCAGAAGCAAAAGGCTTCTATGAGTTGTCTGATTATGGGTAACCAAAAAGAACAAATACTCCAACTGCAGACCTCTCTCTTGAGGCTCTAGTTCTGTGAGTCAGAGGGTCTTGAGGAGAAGTAGTCCTTAATTGTAGGACGTTGGGTAAGTAAGCATCCACCAGAATCTGTTTCTAAACAAATGTGAGGAGAAATAATCAGGCAAGTTGCTGAATCTTTGTTTATATTATGGGGCACTTCAAAAAGATCTCGGCCTCACATGGAAACAAGGGGTGTAACTCCCATTTTGGGGCATAACTGTATACTGTAAAGCCTTATATCATTGTACACAAAAACTCAAATGTTTGTAGCAATCAAAGACAAACAGAGAAGAAAGCTTTGAGTTGGTGTGTTGTTGCTCCAGGACAATGCACCCGTTCACAAAGGTGGCAGGAGCACCCAAATGTGGCTTTGAACTATTGCCCCATGCACCTTACTCGACTGACGTGGCACCATCTAACTTCCAGAAGTCGGAAGGTGCCAACTGTGCTGTCTGGATGGGTGCATTGTCCTGGAGCAACAGAACGTCAGCTCGAAACTTTTTGCTCCTTGCAAAAATAATAACAGCATATATTTCCATTCTGGGGACAGTGGTACAAGCCTTTACAGTGTACATTCTCATGGATTAATCGTAGCAGCTGGACTTGCTTGAGTTCCTTGAAGATGTTTCACCTCTCATCCAAGAGGCTTCATCAGTTTGGACTGACTAGTTGGGAGGTCCAGATACTTATATCCTTAAGGATCCATTAACACCTGAATAAAACTTGAAACCGAAACTCAGGTGTTAATGGATCCTTAAGGATATAAGTATCTGGAACTCCCAACTAGTCAGTGAGAACTGATGAAGCCTCTTGGATGAGAGGTGAAACATCTTCAAGGAACTCAAGCAAGTCCAGTTGCTACGATTAATCCACAAGAATAACCATGACCTGGATGACTGAGAATCTTCACAGACATGTTTACAGTGTACAGTTATGCTCCAAAATGAGAGTCATGCTCCTAATTTTCTGCTGAGGCTGAGAGCTTTTACCCTCATGCATCTACAAGCTCCAATTTTGTTATGAGTTTTGAAAGGCAACGGCACTACTGCACTCCTGGTTGCCACTGTTTTGTTGTCCTTGAGTTAAGCTTGTGTCGAACAACAAAATGACGCAACATCCCAAGCGATGACACTTGCTAATGTTGCTAAGCTACACTAGAGTTACTTATTTTGAAATCTAATAGTTTTACGTAAATGGAGTGACAATTATTAGTGTAATGGATGGAGCTGCAAAGCTTGTATTTATCATCTGCAGTGTGGAATAATTGGAAAGTCACTCCTACATATTAATATATTGATCATAGAAATTGGAAGCCTGGAGGAAGAGGCCTGAGGCGGGAAATCTGCGGTGCTGCAGCTGGACCCACTAGGAAAAATACCTTATTTCCTAGTAGAGTAATACAAAGGTAAGATCTGTGCATAATACATACATAATGCATGCCCATCAAATAAAGCTATCTAGAGCTTCAACTGAGAAAATACCACTTATCCTCAAGGACGAAGCAAAGTCACCGGTGTGCACAGTGATTCTGGAGGAACTGTTTAATAATCCTGCTCAAGTCTTCTCATATTTTCTCATATAGTGTCAAAAGACAACACTGAACAGAAGGCTGTGGTATACATGCATTGTAAAATAACTTGCTAAATACAGATGGGGTAAGATTATCTTTATGTGAAACTTGAAATGACAACATTAGCTGGGGGGCAGTAACAGTAATCCTGTATTGCACTAGATGCTATGATAGAAGTACGGCATTTGACTTGCATGTTTGCAAATTTTTGTATTAGCACTGCACTTGGACGGCACATTTTGCCATACCAATAAGCAATCATCAATGCCTTGCAGGCGACATGCATCAAAGTCACGAAGAAGCATTTGCTTCTACTTGATGTGTCCAGCAATAGTAACCATAGTCTGACTGCTTTTAGGCTCCTTATGGCACAACCTCTTGAACATTTTAATAAAATATATTGTATGTGATGGTGCCTGCTTTTATAAATACATTGAACTTGTATTTGTTTTACTCACCTGTTGTTTTTTCTCACTACTGGATTATATGTGCACAATCAGTTTACACTACCACAGGTATTTACAGATGGTGCAGCACTGGGCATCGGATGATACGAATATGCGTAGATTTATCTGCTTGGTTGTGTCGCAGCTGAGACACATCGCCGCCAGTGTTAGAATACACTGTTAATCTACGTTTACAAGAATTTGGCAAATTGTTGTAAGAAGTTTGCAGGACCAAAGCAGACTGTGATTAATGGTCTGCATATCAGGGCTAATGCCTTTTTAAGAACCCGTCCTTTGGTCATTAATCATTCTGCAATAATCCCAATAAATGAAGTAATATGAGAGGCAATAAAAGTTGAAAGATCCATTGGTCATATCCACAATAAATTCTGGAATGGACTGAGCTTTAGGCCAGCCAAACAATAAACATACGAAGAGAGTCTCTTTCTGAAGAAATAAGTTAGATTAACCTCTTTTAAACATCATCATCATCATCATCATCATCATCATCATCATCATCATCATCATCATTCAGGGGACAGAGCTGGTCTTGTGCAGGGAGCAAGCATACACAACAGAGCAAAACAACACACAGCTTTGAAACAAGCCATCAAGGTAAATAAATCAAGCACATATCATTGAGGGCCTTGCATGCATGATTAAAAATAATGCATGCATGTCATCAGAATCACAGCATTAATCGCACATGCAAACACACCAAAATGACCCAAAATGATATGTTAAATATAAATATTGCATCACAGAGTCACAAAACAATGACAATGAGTGCACACACAAGCTTTAAAAACAAACAAAAAAATGTTCAGTTTGCACTGAAATGACCTCCTTATTTGTCTGTTCCTGCTATCTCCTCTTGTCTCGGGGATGAAGTCCTCTGTTTTTTCCTCTCACGCCAATAATTCTTAATTATCTCTGATAAACACTTCATCGGCTCAGAGAGACCAAGAGACGGAGAGATGAACAGACAGATAGAAACAGACAGATAGAGGGAGAGACTAAAATGAAATTCTATGACCCCTCTTAGTCTGCCGATCAGGTCTTCTTCCTGTCTAAAGTGTTGTTTTTCTATCATCCCTTCTGCCTCTTGCCTTTCAGTCTGTCTTGCAGCATTGCATATTAATGGGAATCCAGAAAAAGGTGCTTTCCCCTCTAAATCTGGCACCTTTCCCTGCATTTTTAAATTGATTGAATTTGCTATTTTCTCCCCGCAACCCAATGCTTCCCCAGCTATAAACAGCTTGAAGAAGAGACGAGGCTGGCGTATTATCATCTATATTTGATGTGATGAGGTATTTAATGGCAGTACTTCTTAATCTGTAGTCTGGCAAACTGCCCAGAAATACATTAATGTTGACATGCTGGCTGCTTCAAACACACGGCCTATGCAAAAACACAGTGTTAGAGGTAATTTAAAGTTTTGCATAATTTGGGGATTTCATCACACTGAATCCTTTCGTCACCTGTGCAGACTGACCAACAGGTGGCCTGGTTGGCAAATGTATCCTTACAATCCTGGAGATGCTTTTTTAGCTCCAAAAGACCTTTTTGCCCTACAATGAGTTGTCTAAGTCAATTTAAATGCACCAGAGTCACAAAATCTGGTATTAGGATGAGGCATTATTGACAGCCGCTCACTGATTATACTTCTCTATTGCTGTTGTCACATGAAAACCCCTAAATAGTTCCAATAATTGTAAGCATAACTCCTTTTAGACACAAGGTTTCCCGTCAACAGCAGGAATATTATGTGAAATTATTCGGCCAAACAGACAGATCCAGCTGGACTCCTCCAGACATACTCCCTCTGTGAAAAAAAGTAACTTTAAGTAAGGTTTTAGGACTTTTCTGCTTCATTAGATACCCGGTGATGCGAGACAGGAAGAAGTGGAGAGACATGACTCGCCATGACTCCAAATTTAACCTTCTATTTTCTGCCTGCCAACAGGGATGAATTACTCATAGTCGACCACGCTTAAAGAAAACGTTGAAAACTTTTGATCTTTTTTCCAACACATTTTGTCATTTGCATTGTGGCTAATCGGTCGTGTGTCAGAGTTACATCATATGATACGAATGAGTAGCTATCAATAGGATTTCAGCATGACGTGGTTTTTTAAAGTTATTACTGTCTGGACAAAGTCAAAATATCTGCTGTGGAAAAAAAAAAAGGTAATGAGCAGCTTGTAGCAAATTTTAATATACTACATACCTAGCACAGGCTATATTACTTTAATTTGAATAAAAACTAAATAAGGTAACATCTGCCTGCTCAAGCCTAAATAAACACCCACATGTTACACGCTTTGATAAGTCTAACATTAGCAATTAGCTGCATGCAATTAGCATATATTCAGAAAGGGCTTGCTTAAAAATGTACAGGTTTATTAGTGTGTTTGTATTAAATGTATTGTTTTGTAAATCACTGCACTTCATGTTTATCATTTATTTTATTTAGCATTTATTTAGCATTTTACTCTATGCATGTCTTAGACGAGCTAATTTTGCTAGCTAGCCTAACATGAAGAGGTCTAGTGAGAAGTAGCAGCTACTAGCAATGATGCTAAGTGATACTACAGTATATTTATATGCATTTTATTGGATTTATTTATACATATATTTACATGTGGCACTTGACACCACCGATAGAAAGAAAGGAAATGTGAGTGTTGCTAGTACCGGCCGCGTCGTTAATTCCTTTAACGGAAACAATGACAAAAACTTTTTGTTGACCAACAATTTTTCATGATTAAAACCAAATGAAACAAAACAAAAAGTAATATTTTAAGATTGGACAAAATGGTTTACCCTTTTCTGCATGTCATTCAAATGAAATGATAATGTTCAAAATGGACAAATCAACTCATAACTGCTTTTAATGTGACGTATATTTTACTGTATTTTGTGTGTCTGTGTATTTTACTGAACCCAAATTTTCTCTTGTTCAGTGAATTCATCAGTTTGACTTGTTGTGTTGCTGTTGACTATGATGCTAAATATATTCAGTGATGTTACGTGTCAGTAATGTTATCTGAAAGTTCTTTAAAGTAAACAAATTTATGTACTAAAGTTACCGACAAAGTAGAAATGACAAATGGCAACAAAGCAGCTGAGACAAACTATGACCATGCAGACAGCAGCCAACATTTATAAAAAGGTAAACTAATGTTAATCTAACGCTGCTAATGCAACACAAGACATGTGGGTGTAACGTTAGTCGCATATTGTTCATGTTGCTGTCAGAAGGTATGGCTGGCTGGAGGACATTAAGTGTCACAGATGTCTTTGTCATGGTGCTTGTTGCTACTAATTATGAAATGATCGGATTGGGGCAAAAAAAATAAAACCTTGATCAGGAGATGCACAGTTTTTAGTTTTTGCAACAAATAACAAAAAAATTGATTAAAACTAAAACACTGACGGGTTTAAAACAGAGAAGCTAACATTCACGCAAGTAGTGTTTGCATTAAAAAAAAAATATATATATATGTTGGCATCATGTGTAGCATTGTCTGTTGAGCACAGAAGTATTTGTCATTGTGGGTATTATGTCAGTAACAACTCATTAGGTTGTCTTCTACTTTCCACCGCTTTGGACCATTTAAAATATGTAGAGCTAATCCCTGATGATGCACTCATCAACCAGGAGCTGAGATAAGAAACATTTTTAACACACTCATCTTAGGATTCGTGCCCATTGAGGCGCAAACACAACTTTTCTTGTAGGTCTTTGCATAAGTTTCCTGCTTGTGGAAGAGCTGCAAGGCTACAGGTTGCAAATACTCAACAAAAACTCGACAAAAGAAAGAAGATTTGCGACTGACAGGTCAAAGACTGGATTAGCTTATCTAAAGCTTACATTTTCCTCTTGATTGTTGTCGTCTAAATTATGTAAGAGGATTTTTACAGAGTGTCTGCAGGTCTTTTGTGAGAGCAGGAATAGCTAAACTCAGAATTTAAAAATAGCAGCATGCGATTATATCACCACAGGCATCGCTGAAAATTGAATGGGTAGTCGGAAGTTGTTTTTTAAAAATAACAAAACTAATAAAATAGCATTTTTCGTTCTAAAAGGACTGGGTGAGTTCTGAGGCAGCCACTGAAACGGCCACTATTGTGCGATTCAACCAAAAAAAAATCATAATTTGGGTTTACAAATGCTCTTTCTCATTCCTGGATTTTACAAGAAAGAAATGATCAGTAGTGATGTTCATCAGTGTCGCTGATTCATCAGATCGGCTCCAACAGCGACTGAACTAGAATAGTAACGGTTACGTAACTGCTACCTGGCTGGAAGCTAGCGGGACTATCTTTAGTACAACAACAACACAGAAGTCAGAGAAGAGCTAAAAAATCAAACCGTGGCTAAATGTTTAATAACTACTTCCCCAGAGGAGACTCAGAACCATTTAAAAAGTTCAAGATTAGGGCTTTAAATTGTTACTTATTGCTCCTCTTTTTCATGTGAACCTTTATAGAAATGTAGATTTTCAGGCATAATTACGCAGGAAGATTGCAAAAGTCCCGATGTGTGTTTGTGTTACTGCTGCTTGGTAACCGCAAATTCGTCTGATGCTTTTACTCAGTGGAGCAGCTGTTGATTATAATAAACATTAAGAATTCATGATAAAAGGCAACGAGAGCACCAAGTCTTCTACAAGCTGCAGGGACTAATGACGACAAGTGGAAATGAGTGACAGACTATGGGTTGCCCTCCATGCTGATTGTTTGAGACACACAGAACAGCAAGCTGCACAGAGCGAAAGCCGTCTGGTGACCAGCAATGACAGAAGCTGAGCTGAGAGTTTTCCAGTGATGGTGAGAACAACTAGAAAAAGGCTGCCCTCTGCTGCTGAAACCATGTCCTCTGTCATCAGGCTGTTCATCTTCTCCTGTCACCACCTGTCCTGCCACAGAAACCCAGGCCTACTTTCTACAGTAGAGTCAGGTTTAATCAAATTAAATGACCTTGGATTTAGGTTTTTTTTTAGCTCAAGCAAAGGGCTCTAGCGCCACCCTCCTCTGTGACTGTGCAATAAATCTCATTCAGTTTGGAAAGGTTTATGAATCTTACATATATCACATCTTCCTCCTCCCTCCTCCTCCTCTTCATCCCCCCCTCCCTCCCGTACTGTATCACATGCAACCACATCCCTTTCTGATACCTGCGGAGTGATCCATCGAGTGGATTCCCGGGCCCCCGGAGGAAAACGGATCACTGGTTTTAAACAGACTGCTCCCACTGGTGTTAGTGGCGGTTTTGTTTTCCACACCAAACAGGCCTGAACTCTTCTGGGAGTCCATAGCTGGACTCATCCCAGTCTGGCCCAGAGCGGAGCTCATACTGGTCTGGAATGGAGGCAGGCTGGACCCCATGGTCCCTCCCATGCCAGACTGGGAGAAGCCTGATGGAGAGACAGAACACAGAGAAACGTCACCAACAGACAACTGCACATTCTGCTGCTGCAGGTTTTATATACAGACATACAAACAGCTCACTGCTGTTTACCCACAAAAGATGTACAACACTTAAAAAATATATTTGTTAAGTGATTAAACCATACAAGTTTTTACAAGAGCAATAAATTAGAGAACATTTCTGATTAGCTGCCTGTTATATGAAAGAAACTACAGGTCAATTACAATTTTTAAAATAATTTTCTAATAATACAATTATCACACGAAAGTTCTACAGCGAGCTGATTTATGCACTGTGTGTGTCTGATACATTTCCTTTGCAACCTGATGGGTTTCACAAAGAAACCAAGTTGCCAAAATGTCACATTATATAGAAAACAAAGCTGGAAATTAGTCAAAATACTGTTTCACCTCTAAAGACCTGGTGTTCACATATGTGGACATCACATTTGGGCTTATATTACCACAGCAGTTATTTATTTATTTGTAATTATTATTATTATTATTAATAATAATAATAATAATAATAATAATAATAATAATAATAATAATAATAATAATAATAATTTTTTTATTTTTTTTATTTTGTATTTTTTATTGTTATATTTTCTAAATGCTCATAGAACTAGAGTTACATCCAGTAATTACATTTTGTCGCTATTTTGGCAGAATTGGAATCTGTAGAATTCTAGCAATGAAACAGGAACAGAAAGGCTGTAGGGACTGATTACGCCGTCGTCCACTTTGCACCTGCAGTGGAAAGCTTCCTACTGCCACCATATGTCCTGCACTAAAACTCAACCTGAAGCAACAATCATGCAGAGTTTTGCATGATTCATTTAACAGTCATTAAGTCACCAAATTGGAGGCTGAGAAACTATTTTGCATTCTGGCCTGAAACTAAAAGCAAAATGTTGCTGTGTTTTCTAGCCCTTCTGTGCATACACATCATACTGATGATGGTACCTGGATATCTGTCTTTTCTTACAAATATTAATGTGGTGCATTTGTAAAAAGTGAAATAAAGAATAGCAAAACAAACTATAAATTCTCGTAGATTAATGGTAGCAACTGGACTTGCTTGAGTTCCTTGAAGACGTTTCACCTCTCATCCAAGAGGCTTCATCAGTTATTTCCTTAAGGAGCCATTAACACCTGAGTTTCAGTTTCAGTTGGGGGTTTGTTGCTCCTCTCCCTCGTTATGTGAGTCGTTAGTGCTCCACCTGCCACAATGGGGTTCGTTAGGGTCTTTTGTGGCTTGGTGTGAAAGTTGTTTCAACCGAAAACTAAACCGAAACGCAGGTGTTAATGGAGCCTTAAGGATATAAGTATCTGGAACTCCCAACTAGTCAGTCAGAACTGATGAAGCCTCTTGGATGAGAGGTGAAACATCTTCAAGGAACTCAAGCAAGTCCAGTTGCTACCATTAATCTACAAGAATAACCATGACCTGGATGACTGAGAATCTTCACAGACCAACTATATAAATAAAATAAGTTATGTCTGTGTGTGTGTGACAGTGTAAAATATCACTGCAGCAGTGTGAGTGAATGGAGATAAAACAGAACGGCACAACTTAACGCACTAGACATCATCATTTTATATTTAGATTATTTGTGATATAAAATGTTAGAAAAGCATTTTCTCATCTCGGCCATGAAGGCGGACGACAGAAGAAACAAAAAGGTGAGTGTGTGTAGCATCACAGAGAGATTCTGGGATAAAGCCAGAGAAAGCCAATGCAGTGACCCACATACACAGAGTATGTTCGATTCTGCAGCGACACACACCAGTGGAGAGGAAACATCCAACAGTGCTGAACAACTACAAAGCAGCAGCTTGCAACAGGCTTTACATTGTTTACCTCCCAGGTTGTTTTTGTGGTAGCAAATATCTCAATGCTGGCTGAAACGTGTAGTCAGGTTTAAGTCAATTAGCACATATTCTTTCCTGTACAGTATCGTCAGATGCAAAGATAGGGGATGCAGAGTGTGATCATTTCCTACTCAGTTAAAGATAATAAAAAGACACAGGAGGTTAAAAAGTAAAGTGGACCTAGAAATGAGTCAGGCATGCTGCTGTCCTTTGTCTTGTTCAGGCTCCACTGATCTGTCATCCCACCCATCATAGGACCTGAGAGAGAGACAGACAGACAGATGGATAGAGCAGGAATGTAAATAAAATAGAAAATGAGAGAGTCAGAAAAGGGGGAAAGTGAGTGGAAAAAAAAGAAGTGAATAATGAGGAGCAGAATGATAGAAGCAGTGGGATAGAAGATGTAAACAAATGTGCAAAGCAAATGTCAGCAAGATCTTCCACCGTCCACCTGTTTATCAGTGCATTTTATTTGTGCGCATGCAGACACGAAAGCTTTATGCTAATGTATACAACGACAAAAAATGCTTGAATTCTCATGCATTTTGTTTCTTTTTTGCATATTTGTTGTAACAATAAAGTGAGGAGGCAGCAAAGACTGTTTGGAGACAGACTTTTTTGGGTAAGGTTCACATTTTTTCACATCAAAAATAACTTGGGTCATTGTTCTCTCTGTTCATCCTGGCTAATATGACGCCAGTGTGAGAGATGAGGACAAAACGTGTTCCATATTCTGACCGGAGAAGATCCAGCGATGGAATGTTTGGCGCAGAATCAAAATGGCTGCAGATTAACCAAATTGTGCTTTCAGCTTTTTCTCCAAAGAGTTTCTTTGCTGAGCTGCAGTGGAGGTGGAACAACCCCAAAAAGGTATTAACTTTAGTTTTCAGACTGCTGAAGTCTCATATTAGCTTTAGATTAACTTTCCAATGCACAGATTTACATTAGGAAGGGATCATTTCACATTCAAGATGAAGAGCAGAGATCATTACAGCAAAAACTGTTTCCAACAATCTATCGGCAGGTGAATATTTCTTTAGCATAGACATAGAAAAAATGTGAACCTAGAGCCACTCACAGCCATATAGACACTGGGGCTTCAAATGATCCAAACAGGGTCCTTATGTTAGAATAGTAATGTTTTTGGCTCCTCAGTGTATAAAGAAAATCGATTTTTGGAGTTGTGGTATTTCTGGGAGTTAAACATAAAACTGAAGACATGGATTTTATTAGGCTAAGCCAAAGTATGAAAGTTATCATTAAGGGATGATAAGGCCTCGAACTACTCACCAGGAGCATGAATTTATTAACATCTCGATCACATTTTCTCATTAAATCGTACCTGAACCTGCATAAGCAGCAGAAAATGGACGAATAGCTTAACCAATTTAAAATGGCTATTTATTTAAGACATTAGTGGTTTCTTACCTGAGCTAAAGCCACATACAGAAGTGTTTTATAAGTAGAATTGCCACCTACAACTGGTTGGCGCTATATTTTGAACAATTTCACCTAAAAAAAAAAGTCTCAGGTTCCCAACTGGGAGGCCAAAATTAGACGGCAAGCAAAAACTGATGTTATTAAACATGTAAAATCTCTCAACTGCAGCTCTGCCAAATTTGATGCAACAGAAACAAAGCACAACGAATGCTGCATCCGTTTTAGTCACAGTAGTATCAGGCATTATAACAACAGATACAGGGTTTAAAGTGCTGCTATGAGTAGAATGTAAAAGAAGAAGCTGCCTTTATTTGTCACAAATACATGACAGTGCATTTGTATGTGCATTTATATTATTTTTTTCCAGCTTGTTGGAAGTTGCAGTCATATTCCAGGGTCAGCCATGATGAGGCGTCCCTGGAGCAGACAGGCTAACAGGCCTCGCTCAAGGGCTCAACAGTGGCTGCTTGGTGACTTTCACTTTGTGATAAGTAACCCAGAGCCTCAACCTTCGAGCCATCACTGTCTTGTTTAATTTAACACTTTTAGAGGCTTGAGAAAAGTGGAATCAATGCTGGGTAAGGCTTTTCAACACCAGAAGGTGAAGCCTCCACCAGGGTCAATGCTCTAGTGTTGCAATTTTACCTAAAATGGTCCAGATCCACAACAAAACTCAGTAAGTTCTTCCTGCGCCTGGGCTCTGTCTCTCCACCAAGATTCAAGAAATTCGGCGTGATACCTTCTTGCATAATCTTGCTAATACACAGCTAAAGAGCCTCTGATCACAGGTCTGCCTTGGTGAAGGAGAACGCCCAACTAGGTTATTAGAATGATTAGAAACTGTTGCTTGTGAATTTACTTCATGGAAAGCTATGGCCAAGAATGTCACGACTGGTTAGAGTTACTTTGGTGCATTAATAAGCCGGCGACACTGTTGATAGCCGTGATGGACAGAAGGAGCGACTACAGTGACAAACTGTTACTGTCTGTGATCAGCATATACGGCATGACTTCAGTCCATCCACCCTCACCAGACAGGTAGTCGGAGCCGAAGGAAGGCTGTCCCGGAGGGTCTTGGCGTCCGCCTGATGACATCATTGATGACATCATTCCCGGACCTACAGGAGATAAAAGAGCATCGTCACCATCAGCCTCAGTTGACAAGCACCATGTAAATGACGCTGCTCATTATTTTATATCAAATTCGATGTGATGAAGCTTCAAGCGTGAAGAACAAAAACAGCATTAAAGGGATAAAATGAAAATAGACGACTTAAGAAGGTCAACTTTCCAGCACTGAGAGTGGAGCCTTTTTCACAACTATTTGGATTTTTGATTTTTCCTGCCAGCATCCCTAAAAACAATTATTCTCTTTCCTGTAACCAAAATTAGATGAGGACAACAAAACAATTCTTTAGATTCATATCGATTCTTTGCATGTATTGCAACTGGATAGCCACATTACATGCACTAGTCTACTGTAATTCACAATGTTCTCTGCTTTAGACTGTTAACTATTAGTGAAATTAAATCTTATGTTTCTATTGTAATCATTAATAAAAAACCAGCTGCATTTAAGAACGGCTTCAGTATTCACAATGCCACCATTACGTTTTTTTTTTTATTTCTGTCAGTGCAGAATGCAATGCTTTACAAATCTGAACAGGAAAAAAAAAAAGATATGAAAAAGGTGAAAAATGAACCATTTATGAGGAAGAAAACTGCCCTGCGTCATATGTGACAAATCAAAGCTATTAATTATGAATCTACAGACACTTCGGGTTCAGTTTCTTCTAAACCACATCGGATACTGAACAAACAGGAGACCCCTTTTTTTCAAACTTTGTATGTTGTACTCCTGGTTTTTCAGTGCATGCTGCATACATTTGCAGGTGTGACTTGCATGGAGAATTTTAGGATGCAAATCTTAACTTGAATGAATAACCCACATGTTTCTCCCCGGTACACACAGCGTTCTGCAGGCTTTCCTTTCAAACTGTCCACACAGCAAGACAGACTGAAAACTGCACCTGAATATGTCTGCTTGTCTGTCTGTCTGCTTGTCTGTCTGTCTGTCTGTCTGTCTGCCTGCCTGCCTGTCTGTCTATCTGTCTGTCTGTCTGTCTGCCTGCCTGTCTGTCTGTCTGCTTGTCTGTCTGTCTGCCTGTCTGTCTGTCTGCTTGTCTGTCTGTCCGTCCGTCCCTCCATCACTCTGCTCTGTCAGCTGTTTGCCCGTCAGACTGGTGCCTCTTCCCAAAGCCGGCCTCCTGCAGCGTCAGTGTGCGTTTGTGTGTTGCGTGAGCGCCACATCTTTTGACAGTGAGGCAAGCAGACACAACACGTCGCCGAGGGAAACTGTCGCCATGGTTACGCCAAAAAGGGGGGGGACGGGGACGACAGCATCCGCGGTTCCCCTGGCAACGCTTGCTGTTGGCAGACGTGTCTTGGAGGATCGATGAATGCGCGCCACCCGCTGAGGCAAGCACACACCGCACACTCACACAAAATACACAAATACTAGAAATAAAATACACTTTTAGCAGGATTATTAGAGGCAGGGGACTTCCTCAGCTCCCTTAAGTGCTGTATAATAGAAGGAAATCGAAAGGATGATAGAATCCATCGACTAATGTAAACTGAAGATTTGCACTGCTGTCTCCATTAACTCCAATTAAGCAGCACAGAAATGAAACTAAGTATTATCATAACAATAAAACACCGTCACCATCTAAATAATACAACACCTCTTCATCAGGGGCCATTACATCGTTACATTGATGATAAGCACTACACTGTACGGTTGTTTCACTGACGACCACTTAGCCATGTTTGCCATTAAAAAGTCAGCTGCAGCATAATGAGATCGGACTTTTTAAGCTACAAGTCCGTGAAAAGAAATTACCATCATATTTAATTAACACCAGTAAACAAAAACAATGTGTCCTTCACTAATGTGCTATTTCCTAAAGGCTTATGTAACGGATTTCATGAAACTGTGCTGAGTGCTTCCAAGTAAAACAACACAACAGTCACGGCTCAACAACCACAATAGAGTCGTTTCTTATTGAGCGTCAACGGAAGCATTTGTAGAAACATACAGTGCAAAATGTAAATAAACATTAAAGGGTTATGTAAATGCAGCAAAACACACAATGAAAACAAAGGAAAGTGCAAAAGTTAATATTAGAACAATGTGTCCGAGTTCTATTTTAGTATTTTGTTATATGATATGATGAGACGATCATATTGTGTACCATCATGTATAAGCAACATGTCAGTAACATTGGTAACGTCGCAGTAAAAGCCCCATGAAGGCTGAACAAATCACATCTGCTGATTAAGACTGCTACAATAGATGTGTAAAAAGTTAAGAAGTGGATTTTTCTTTTTGTTAAAGCTGCAGGTGACAAAAATCTGAGGGAAAAAAAAAACTCTCCAGTATTTTAAAACACACAGCCCTCCTCCCGCTGCTCTTTTCTTCCCCCTCTTCATTTGAAGTCCCTCCACCGCACGAACACGAAACTCAAACCAATATCTGACTTTCATGGTGGTTCCCACGGGGATTCAAACCCTGCTCTTGAAGTCCTTCATCAAACCCACTGTTCCCCTGCATCCAGCCGTCTGATTGGTTAAAATCTCCCATCGCTGGCTGGATTTCATAAAGCCTGAAAATGGACCCAAAAAGAAGGTGCACAAGTCTGGTTTCTTCTCAGACCACTTGAATTACAACATGCTGAAAGATTTGTATGGATTTTTTCCCCCCAATAATGCAATATAAATAAATAAACACAAAATAATATAAAATACTGCACGCCACAGCTTCAAAGATGCAGCTGAGTTAAGACGGTTGGTGAAACTAAGCGCTACATAAACTTGTTAATTTATATTTATTCTATAAGCTCATCATGGGGTTTGTATTTAAAATCTTATTCACAAGGTTGCTGGTGATGAAATTTGTGTAGTTTAATAATCCAGAAAGCACAACACTATACTTTGATTTTCATTTTTTCTTAAAAAAAAAAGAAGCACATTTTACATTTTATGCTTGTACGTTTTCTACTCATGTTTACATTTTTAGGACATATTTTTCTATATATTCTTTGTACTGCTTTTATTTCTAAGCCTTTGAGTGGCAGCAACTGTAACATAAGCAATTTCCCCTAAGGGATCAATAAAGTAATATTATATAGTATCTGATTCTGATTCAGTATTTCCCTGTGATATGTAGGGGCATGAATACAATCATCTTAAATTGGTGGTAAATTCTCTACTAATTGTGGATAGCAAATGTTGGCACAGACAAGTTATCAGATGTTTGCACTATATTATATATATTGGGTACATTGATACCATGTTGATCTGTGTAATCCACTTTAATGAAGGACGATGTGATGTTTGCCTCCTTCCCAGCTGCTGCTGCCAACACAGCAAGTATTACATGTATCTGTCCATGGTCCTGAAATATCACATGTAAAAATAGACCGTGGAGCCTTCAACTAACACTAAAACCAAATGTGCACATCACACACGACTACGTTCTATTTAGACACAAGCCGCATACAGTTATTGATCCTCGCGCACCTAAAAGCATCGTTTTAGGCAAAAAGTCTGTTTTCTATCAACTGTATTCAGAAGAAATGAGGACACGTATTCCTGGCAGTGGACCAGCACCAGTGTGATGGTGGATACGGTGAATAATTAATGAGTGAGCATTCACTGGGAGTTTAGGTGAGCTGGATCTGGTGTGTTTGTTAGAGTCACTGTTGTTCTCAGTGGCCATTTTTGCTTTCATAACAGCACACACACACACACACACACACACACACACACACAAGCAGCAGACACATGAACTGCAGAGTCATTCTAGACAAAAAAAGAAAGAAAAAAAAAAGCTACAGGATTCTTTTCTTTCTCTCTGTGTTTGGTCTGTTTTTTCATTATTGTCATACCACATCCCTGTCTGCTTTATTCTCTGCTTTTGTATTCTGCTAAATGTTACCATCCTTGAAGAAGTTGGAATAGAATGTTTTAGTTCAGCCATATTTCTTTAAAGGTACACACACATACAAACACAATAAAACAGCATCAAATTAGGTAAAAGCAGTTAGCATTTAAATACTAAATGAATGAATACTGAAAGTCTGTACTGGCCTCCAGACCACTTGTATGCATTCACAACCAGGTCAAATGATGTAACATCATTTAATGAAAACTGAAGGTGGAACAGTGTCGGATGAGTTTGAGCTGTTTTGTTTGCTTCCCATTTACAGACTCAGGGCAAAAAAATAACCCATTACAAAATAGTGAAATAAACTGCAAAAGTGGTGAAAAAATAGCTAATGTCTGTAAAATAATGATATTTTTAGCCCATTAAATAGAGTAAAACAGTTCTATTTTATAGCCAAACCTAAAGGAATAACTTTGGACAATATTTACAGCTATGGCTTATTTTTGTTACTTCTCACTTAATTAACAAGTTAATTAATACCTTTTTTTCTGTGATTTCAATAGTTATTATCTGTGCTTTAAAAATAGAAGCGAAATACCAGTAAATTGTATATTAGAAAATATTATATTAAAAACAACAACAAAAAACAACGTTAAAACTGTTTAAAAACGTTCTTTCTTTCTCTTTTAACATTTTTTTTTTTACAGTGTACGACCACCATTTTTAACTTTATTTGTTCTTTCCTACCCACACAGAACAGACAAGTAGTGGACGGTCAGGAGAAAGTCACTGAATCTGAATTAGAATCACATACGCCACCTTAATTAATGGAAAACAAACACAACATTTGTCAGATGTCACAATGAATTATTTAAATTTAATTGTCCAGCTCTAGTTTATCATAACTGCAGTCACACTAACGATAACGTGTCATATATGTGCTGTGAATACATCACAGTCTGATGAGGAGTGAATGAATGGGTGTACCTCATTCTGGATGCATGAGTTGCTTCTGGCTTAAAAAGTTTGCTTTGTTGATGTCGCTTCACTTCTTGTTCTTTTCTCTGTCTCTGTCAGACATTTACACACACAGAGACTCACAACCACACACACTTACAGACACAGTATGTGCGTGCAGACACACTCAGAACCCAGACAGTCCTCTGAGGA